TGAAGTCCGAAGTAAAGATGCTACTTGATATTTATAACATGTAGAAGTATTTACTTCTGAGTGAGTTTGAATAGTGCCAATCGTTACAGTGAGTGTAGCCAATTCGTTAAGTTGCGACCACGAACAGACGATTCGCTATCAGAGGAGATTGTTCGACGCACTGCTCTTTAAAATTTTGTTGGTTTTGTATATTGCTTTGATATTTTCCTTGAAAATGACTCAAAGAAAAAAAAACAACCTTTTTGTTTATGCTCCGGGTAATTCCACCGTTAATATAGTATATAGGGAGCCACTAACGTAATCAAGTACATATACCAATATTACCAAATAATAAAAAAACCGACTTCAAAAAACCAAAAACTAATAACAAACAAAAAATCAAAACTAAAAAGCAAAAAATAAATATTATTAGTACTGATAGGTTACCCACCCACTGATAGGTAAGAAGTCGGTGCCATAAGTTCCATGCAAAATTATTCATTAAACTGTCAAACACCAAGCGGTGACCGCATCCTATTGTTCTATAATTGTGTCTACAAAACCGGTACTCGACGAGTTAAAACCTTAATAGGTACCTAATCCACAATTTTGTAGACATTAAGTTATATCATTATGATATGAGCTTATGGCACCGACTTCTAACCTATCAGTGGGTGGGTAACCTATCAGTACTAATAATGGTTATTTTTTGCTTTTTAGTTTTGATTTTTTGTTTGTTATTAGTTATTGGTTTTTTGAAGTCGGTTTTTTAAACGCAGTTTTATTTTATTATTTTATTATTTTCAGTGTAAAGCCAACATATACCCGTTTTATTACTTATAATCTACATAGGTGCAAAGTTCTAATCAATACAAATTATACAAGCCCAAACACAAGGTAGTTACAGTATACCGTTGAGGAGTTCCCTTAACAATTACACTTCTTCATCACCAGACCCTTAATGACAGCCCCCTCTATCTAGGTGTAAAGTCCTCATCAATACAAATTAATCAAGCCCAAACACAAGGTAGTTAATATAAACCGCTGAGGAGTTCCCTCGACTGTCTGTCAGCTCCATCATCAGCGACTCCAGACCCTTATCAAATTGTAGTGTTTAAAAATCCTAATTGAAAAACATAATAGACGCATTACTCGCCCATAGAATTTTCGAAAGTTCCCCTCGGTTTCCCTAGGATCCCATCTTCAGATCCTGACCTCATGAAAATGGGACTATCTCGGGAGTATACCCTTTCAAACAAAACAAGAATTTTCGAAATCGGTTCACAAATGGCGGAGTACTGCGCGAACAAACAAAAAAAAAAAACAATCAGTATCTCCCCCTACCAATAGTTCCTCCTCCTTTTTTTGAAGTCGGTAAAAATATACTACAGTCAGGATCTTTAATAGCAAAAAAATGCTATACCAATTTCTTAAGTGGAGTTTATTTGTATATAAACTTTTATTTAAGGGGGAAAAGTCATTGAATGACTTCTCCCGCCTGGGTGAGGCTGGAGAGAGTGTCAGACTCTTACTGACTAAAAACCAGGTCGTTCCTAGTCCTGCCCTTCGAGCTGGAATCCCGGTAACCCGTTAAGTTCTCCGCGGCTCCGAATCGGCATCAGTCCTATTGGGCCCCATCCGTGGTGATCGCGCGCCCAACGCGCCGTACGTATGTTCGCCGTCCGCAGGCCCGCGCTTAAGGTGGCCGGAGATCGTCCCGCGGTCCCCGACCGCCCGGAGTGTCCTTCGCGATGGCTGGGTTGCTGGGAGGCAGCGCTTCGCTGCCTCACGCGTCCCGCCTCCTCCTTAGCTATCATGACTGCTTCGCAAAAGAAGGAGACGGCATCCCAGTCCCCCTCGCTCCGCATCATGACCCGCACTAGGACCCGACGCGAGAGGTCGCCATCGCCGATTACGTCCCTGAGGGCTTGGCGGTGCTCAGTCCACGCAGGACATTCCCCTACTGTGTGTTCCACCGTGTCCCCAGGGCGGTCCTCGCAGTGATGACACCCGGGCTTTTCCTCCCGCCCCATCAGACACAGGTACCTTCTGAAACTTCCATGTCCAGTGAGGACCTACGTCAGGCGGTAGGTGAGGACGTCGTAGCGTCTCTCAAGCCACTCTTCAAAGAGGGGACTTACCGCTGCAATGGCAGTGAACCCAGCCCTCGGTTTCGATAATCTTTGCTGCCATTCCGCCATGAGATCGCGCCGGAGATCTTCCCGCCACGCACTTATCTGGCGCGGCAGCGGAGTTTCGCCCCGGCGTGCCTCCGCGCACAGACAATACACGCGCGCGAGCACCTTCGCCTCCAGTTCCCACGGCGGATGTATATAGCCTTCAGTTATCTAAACGATGTTGTTTTGTTTTGGACAACTACGCGAACGAAGTCGCGGGCACACCTAGTCTATTCATAAACAATCAGTAAATAATATATTTTACTCGCTCTAAGATTCTCTCATTACTTCAGTCCATGATTAAGAAATCGAAAAATACAGTGAAACACGTTCGATCCGCTCGTCATCTCGAGCTCGTGGTAGTCGCAGTGTCCGCAGCGCAGTGTTGCAGGGCGGCGTGGTGCGGCTGCGCGGGCGGGCTGGCGGCGCGCGGCGGGCGCCAGGGCGCGGGCGCC